TACATCCCAAAATGCCATTGGCCTTCTTGGCAACAAGGGCACACTGCTGACTCATATCCAGCTTCTCGTCCACTGTCACCCCTAGGTCCTTTTCCGCAGAACTGCTGCCTAGCCATTCGGTCCCTAGTCTGTAGCTGTGCATTGGGTTCTTCCGTCCTAAGTGCAGGACCCTGCACTTATCCTTATTGAACCTCATCAGATTTCTTTTGGCCCAATCCTCCAATTTGTCTAGGTCCTTCTGTATCCTATCCCTCCCCTCCAGTGTATCTACCACTCCTCCCAGTTTAGTATCATCCGCAAATTTGCTGAGAGTGCAATCCACACCATCCTCCAGATCATTTATGAAGATATTGAACAGAACCGGCCCCAGGACCGACCCTTGGGGCACTCCACTTGATACCGGCTGCCAACTAGACATGGAGCCATTGATCACTACCCGTTGAGCCCGACAATCTAGCCAGCTTTCTACCCACCTTGTAGTGCATTCATCCAGCCCATACTTCCTTAACTTGCTGACAAGAATACTGTGGGAGACCGTGTCAAAAGCTTTGCTAAAGTCAAGAAACAATACATCCACTGCTTTCCCTTCATCCACAGAACCAGTTATCTCATCATAGAAGGCGATTAGATTAGTCAGGCATGACCTTCCCTTGGTGAATCCATGCTGGCTGTTCCTGATCACTTTCCTCTCATGCAAGTGCTTCAGGATTGATTCTTTGAGGACCTGCTCCATGATTTTTCCAGGGACTGAAGTGAGGCTGACTGGCCTGTAGTTCCCAGGATCCTCCTTCTTCCCTTTTTTAAAGATTGGCACTACATTAGCCTTTTTCCAGTCATCCGGGACTTCCCCGGTTCGCCACGAGTTTTCAAAGATAATGGCCAATGGCTCTGCAATCACAGCCGCCAGTTCCTTCAGCACTCTCGGATGCAACTCGTCCGGCCCCATGGACTTGTGCACATCCAGCTTTTCTAAAAAGTCCCTAACCACCTCTATCTCCACAGAGGGCTGGCCATCTCTTCCCCATTTTGTGATGCCCAGCGTAGCAGTCTGGGAGCTGACCTTGTTAGTGAAAACAGAGGCAAAAAAAGCATTGAGTACATTAGCTTTTTCCACATCCTCTGTCACTAGTTTGCCTCCCTCATTCAGTAAGGGGCCCACACATTCCTTGGCTTTCTTCTTGTTGCCAACATACCTGAAGAAACCCTTCTTGTTACTCTTGACATCTCTGGCTAGCTGCAGCTCCAGGTGCGATTTGGCCCTCCTGATAACATTCCTACATGCCCTAGCAATATTTTTATACTCTTCCCTGGTCATATGTCCAACCTTCCACTTCTTGTAAGCTTCTTTTTTATGTTTAAGATCCGCTAAGATTTCACCATTAAGCCAAGCCTTCACATACAAGGAGGGGCAGATTAGGTAATAAATTTACATTGGGTTTACTTCAGACCAGAGCAAGACGGTACAGCTCTGAGTTCCTAGGCTGAGGAGCTGGGGGAAATTGTCTGGAGCCTCTCTGTTGTTGTTTCATGAGTGGCTGGTGAAAGCATTCATGTAACTCAGCTGGGTGTGTCCCTGCCTGTGAACATTTGAGGGAGTGCAGGACCTGGAGGGGTTTGCAGCTTGTCACAGCCTCACAGAGTGAGATGGGGCCCAGATTGGTATATCAGTTCTTTTCTGTCGGTTTATTTTGGGAACAGGAAGTTGGGACAGAAAAGCAGTAATATGAGGGAAAACAGTGAAACAATTGTGAAATTGGAGCTATTCAGATTGGAGGCAGTAGAGAAAGAAAAAAGAACCTAGGAGAATTTTGGAGCTAAAGTGGGCAGAGGCTGCCAGAGAGGAGGCTGAACACAGAAGGGCTACAGAACTAAAACAAGAAATTGAGGAGAAAGAGGGAGAATGGAAACACCAGTTGGACTTGCTGGAAAAGCAGAACCAGAACCTTCCCCCTCCACTGATTCCCACCTATCCAAAAATCCACAAATGGTAACAGCTGTGTCCTGCATTCAATGAGGCAGGGGATATTGCTGAATTCTTCAATAACTTTAATATCCTGTGTGTGATTCATAAGGTTCTTGATGACCAGAAGGTAACCACTTTAATTGCAAAGTTAACTGGAAAGCTCTGGATATATTCAATAAAATGCCAATTGTGGATGCTTTAGATTATTGTAAATTTAAAAAAAAAATGGTTTTGAAGCAATTTCAGATGACCTCTGAAATGTATAGAGTGAAATTTAGGAGTCTTAAGAGGGGTGCAGGTATGAGTAATGTGGAATACTTAAACAAAATGAAAGATTTGATGGGAAAGTGGGTAGGGCGCAAAAGTGTTACAAGCTTTGAAGGAATGTTTGCCCTTGTTGCTCAGGAGCATTTCCTAACCATATGTAAAGGTGATGTAAAACAGTGTCCATAGAAGAAAAAGATGAAAACTGTGGATGAGGTTGGTGATTTTGAGCAGACACAGGCATCTAATGAAGGGGTTTACACTTGGCAGGGTTCCGTTTTACCCCACTCTTCCAATCTGAGACCAAAATCTATTTTTAAAACAAAAGCGTCCAGCTGGTGCTGTCATTGCAATCCCACTGATCATCCGAGGAATAAATGCCCTGTGCTGGGAGAAAGTAGAGAGCAGGCAGCCCATGTAAATGCTGAGACCCTGAGCACAGAAGCCCCTCTGGCACCTGATACTTATCATACTGTAAAATTATCCTTTGCACCCCCAGGTATGAAGCACATCAAGTCTGTCAGCATCAAAGCAGGGAGCACCTTGGATGGGAATACAGGGGCAGAAATTCCTGTGGTTGGCTGAGTATAATGCAAGAAGGTGACATGCTACAAGGACAGATGGCAGAGCTTTCCTTCGTCATAGGTTATAAAATCCTTGTGCCTTTCGCTAAAGTGCACATAAAAACTGAGGTTTTGGAAGCTGCATTATCAGGGTCTAGACAATAACCCTGTTGAAATGCTGATTGGGAATGATTTCTTCCATGTAGCTCAGGCTGTTAAAGTGTCCACCTGCAACAAGAAGGAGCATTTTTCTGGAACCCCAGAGGGAAAAGGGAATGTCCCAGGAACTCCTGAAGGAAGGAGAACAAGTCTCCTTGATTCCTCTGCAGCAGGGGGGAGGCTGCATGCTTCCAGGAGTGGGGGTGGCTGAGACCAACTCCTGCCTGGCGGCTGAAGGCAGTGTCTGCTCAGGAAGGGAGGAGATTATATTGCCTGTCAGGGAGACAAATGTCCAGGTTGCCGCTAAACAAGGGCCAAGCCCAGTGCTAGGGAGCTTAAGAAGATGTGTCCAGGAGGGGAGCCCAGAGAAGGGTGATGGAATTGTAGAAACAACTGAGGAGGTGGGTGAGAATTCCTTTAACTCTGCAGCGGGAGGCAACACCTCGACAGGCAAAGGGAGGGAGGGGTGTAGTGCAGGCCGGTGAGACAACTGTCCAGGCCGTTAGCTAGGAGCCCTTTGGAGCTGAGCATATGACCTGTTCTACCCTAGAGATCACAGGGGTATGCGTCTTAGGGAGGAGAGCACAAGGACTTTTGTTAGGATATAGATATTCAGGTCTGTCTGTAAAGGCCTAGACTCTAAGAATGTAGGTGTATTCTTATCACTTGGCTAGTTCTAGAGGTATAAAGGAAAGAATCAAAATCACTGTCTGCCGGTGTAAGGGCCTTCTCTTCCTGTGACAGTCTGAGGCCCTGTTCTTAGGCTAAGGCCTCTGGCTAAGCAGCAGAGGCAGCCATAAGCTGGGAAGCGACCGGTCACCTCCTCACATTCCAAACTAGTCACACTGAAATAAGGTGCTATTGGGCTGTTAGGATACAATCCTGTCCTGATAGTGCCTATCACCTCCAGAGAAAGGGAAGTGCCTAGAAAATGTAAAAGGAAACTTAGTTTGATAGCATCCTGTCTGGCAAGAACTCACTTATCAATAGCTGGGATGTGAAATCCTCACTTCTGTATTGTTTTGTCATTATAGTTCCCACTTTGCTATTGTTTGTCTGCATAATCTCTATCTGGTTCTGTGATTGTTTCTGTCTGCTGTATAATTACTTTTGCTGGGTGTAAACTAATTAAGGTGGTGGGATATAATTGGTTACATAATCATGTTACAATATGTTAGTATTGGTTAGTTAAATTTCAGGAACATGATTGGTTAAGGTATAGCAAAGCAGAACTCAAGTTTTACTATATAGTTTGCAGTCAATCAGGGATTAGGGGGGTGGGGTGGGCATGTGGGTGGGGGAAATGGGAACAGGGAATGGGGGTAAGAAAATTGGAATCATGCTTTGCTAAAGGGGGAAATGGGAACAGGGACACAGGTGTAAGGCTCTATGGTGTCAGAGCTGGGAAGGGGGACACTAAGGAAGGAAACTGGAATCATGTTTGCTGGAAGTTCACCCCAATAAACATCGAATTGTTTGCACCTTTGGACTTCGGGTATTGTTGCTCTCTGTTCAAGCGAGAAGGACAGGGAAGTAAGTGGGTGAAGGAATAAACCCCCTAACAACTTTCCTTTGCTAGGTGTTTTCAAGATCCTTCAATTAAAGATGCTGCACAGTATGATGATAGTTACTGATGAGAATTACTCATTTCTGATACCGTAGTGACTGCCCCATGTGTCTGCAGAAGGTGTTTGTGTCTCCTCTCAGTCATCTTTCTCCAGATCTATCTATCTACTGCCTACCTATCTGTCCTGGGTATTTCAGTGTATGAGACCCTATGGAGACCTAGGTATTATCCCTAGTTTCTTTACTAACCATCCATAATTTTTAAAAATACACAAATGCACAGAGCAGCCAATTCCTCTCGGGCTCAGCGGAGAGCCCAGGAGTTCTCATCTCCCCTTGGGAAAGTCATGTAATTAGTGTTTATTCCCGAAGCTGTATAAAGAGTGCAGACAAGCTTCTCCCCAGCCTGTTTACATTCAGATTATTTGCGAGAGGCTGAGTGAACCCCACTGGGATTGCAGAAAGCTATATTACAAACGGTGCATACCCTTGTGTTGGCTCTCAGCGTGGGATGCTGCTGCAAATGCTGGGGTGAGAGAGGTGTGAGACACGGCTAGCTGAAGGGAATTCCCAGAGAAGACACTTCCATCTCAGGATACACTGGTACCCATCTCTTGCTGCTCACCAAACGGAGTGCCACATGGGCATGATGGAATCGAGAATGGGTGGGATGGGACCGAGAATAAGTCTGTGGCCCTTTTGGCTCTGCACACCCATTAAATAGAATCATAGAATATTAGGGTTTTAAGAGACCTCAGGAGGTCATCTAGTCCAACCTCCTGCACAAAGCAGGATGAACATGAACTGAATCTTCCCAGCCAGGGCTTTGTCAAGCTGGCCTTTAAAAACATCTAAGGGAGATTCCACCACCTCCCTAGGGAACCCATTCCAGTGCTTCACCACCCACCACAGAAGGGATGTGGACAAACTGTAGAGAGTCCAGTTCAGGCAATGAAAATAGTTAGGTGGCTGGAGCACATGGGTTACGAGGAAAGGCTGAGGGAACTGGGGTTATTTAGTCTGCATAAGAGAAGAGTCAAGGGGGATTTGATAGAAGCCTTCAACTGCATGAAGGGGGGTTCCAAAGAGGATGGAGCTTGGCTGTTCTCAGTGGTGGCAGATGACAGAACAAGGAGCAATGGTCTCAAGTTGAAATGCAGGAGGTCTAGATTGGATATTAGGAAACACTATTTCTGTAGGAGGGTGGTGAAGCACTGGAATGAGTTCCCTAGGGAGGTGGTGGAATCTCTTTCCTTAGAGGTTTTTAAGGCCTGGTTTGACAAAGCACTGGATGGGATGATTTAGTTGGTGTTTATCATGCTTTGAGCAGTGGGTTGGACTAGATGACCTCCTGAGGTCTCTTCCAACCCCAATCTTCTATGATTCTATGATTTACCTTTTTTTTTGTTGTTCTGTTGCTGCCTGACTGCATAATTCTGGTACCAAATGAGATGTATGGTTAATCGGTCACTTTGTAACTCTGGTGGTCATAACTCTAGCATTCTACTGTAGATGCTGTTTAACGTCCTCATTGATTGCTAATGGCCTGGAAATGCCAAAAAAAATAAAAACAATTTTTTTCTGCAATATTATCAAATTTCCTTTGTCTCCAGAGAATTTGGCCTATAACTTTTCCATTATTTCTTTGTTTTTAAAATATTTAATAACCTCCTGATATCTTTAACATCCCTTATCATTTTCATAAAGTGCAATTTGTATTGCTTGTGATCTGTATCCTCCCCCCACCCCCCTGTTTATTGTACATTGCTTGCCTCCTCCCTGCAGTTGATGCCTTCACTTTGCCACTGGGTAGGATTTTTAGCGAAAGTTGTCCACATCCTTGATTTATCATTGCTTTGTAGCTATGTAATAAAGTCTTCTTAAGGAACTCCCAAGTTTCATTCCCATTTTCCTCCCCATCAGTTTTGCTGATAATTTGCCTCAGTTTTGAGGAAGGAGCCTTTTGAAGCACTTTCTGTACATATTAGCAGTTGGGAGCTGTTCTCTGTTTGTCCATTTCAACACAATCAGTTTCACAGTTTATTTTCCTCTCCTCTATCATATGCCCCCTTCTTTCTCTTTACTCTAAAGAGTGACAGAGTTTTCAGTCTCTCTGCATATGGCAGCCTCCCCTATTCTCCTAGCCTGTCTCAGGTGTGGTCTACACTGTGGGGGGGATCGATTTAATTTACGCAACTTCAGCTATGTGAATAGCGTAGCTGAAGTCGATGTACTTAGATCTACTTACTGCGGTGTCTTCACTGTGCTAATTCTACAGCTGATGCTCTCCCGTCGACTCCGCCTGCGCCTCTCGCCCTGGTCGTGTATCAGAGTAGACGGGAGAGCACTCAGCAGTCGATTGATCGTGTCTAGATGCGATAAATCGACCCCCACTGGATCGATCGCTGCCTGTCAATCCAGTGGGTAATGTAGACAAACTGTCAGAAACCCCCTTTCTCTCTGCTATACCCTTTATAGAGACTAGGCAACCAAAACTGAGCACATATCCAGAGTACGTTATTTTCCATCCCATTCCTTAGGCATTGTCTTTGTTTTGGCCACTGCTTCGAAAGAGCAGGTGTTTCAGTTGAGCTGACAGGTCTTCTCTCTGAGGTTTGTTCTAGTTGGGATGTTTGCCCCCAGCCCATGTCTTGGCAAAGCTTTGATTTTTTCCACTGTCAGTTTTTGAGCTACCAGGTGAATGGGGACCTCTCTACAACATGAACTCTCTATCCTGGGTTTCACTGAATTAAGGAACAATGAGGGATAACCAGTATCCACCCTCATGTTTCCTGCTGGTGTCTATTAAGGGTTCCCACACCAAAACAAATAGGAATTATTGACACATGGAGCACCACCAAATATGGAATTTGCATGAGTAGGGTCAGGGGTTCACAATTCATTTCTCTGAATTATGGAAATGTAATTTTTCAGTGTGTAATGAGTGACCAATCTGCTTCACCCATGAGAAATGTCTCCGCTAGTGCATGTAGTGTCTCATATTAACATTGTCTCTCCAACCAGGCATTTGTACAGAGACCATCACACTAGACCCTGGGCACATACAGGAAGTCAGGGGAACTTACGGTACGTGCAAGAGACACCGTGCTACCTCAGAGTTGGACACCTTTTCCTCTACTCCATGTCAGATTCCAACACAACCGACTTCACCAACCCCTCCACCTTCATCCTGCTGGGAATTCCTGGCCTGGAGGTGGCCCATGTCTGGATTTCCATCCCCTTCTGTGTGATCTATGCCATAGCCATTTTGGGGAACTTCACCATCCTGTTCATTGTGAAGATAGAGCCGAGTCTCCATGGGCCCATGTACTATTTCCTCTGCATGCTGGCTGTCACCGACCTGGCCCTGTCTACGTCCACTGTGCCCAAAATGCTGAGCATCTTCTGGTTGAATTCCAGGGAGATAGATTTCAGTGCCTGCTTCACCCAGCTGTACTTCATTCACTGCTTCTCAGCGATGGAGTCTGGGATCTTAGTGGCCATGGCTTTGGATCGCTACGTGGCCATCTGCCATCCCCTGAGACATTCCACCATCCTGACAAACGCGGCGGTGGCCAAGCTAGGCCTGGCCGTGGTACTACGCAGCAGCATACTCGTACTGCCCAATCCCTTCCTGGCGAGGCGGTGTCCCTATCACAGAACCAACATCATCCCCCATACCTACTGTGAGCATATATCCATGGTGAAGTTGGCCTGTGCTGACATCCGTGTCAATAATTACTATGGCTTCTCTCTGATTTTCCTCATCACTGGTGTGGATGTGTTTTTGATTGCCCTGTCCTATACACAGATTCTCAGGGCCATCTTCAGCCTCCCCACAAAGGACGCCTGGGTGAAGACTTTTTGGACCTGCAGCTCCCACCTGTTTGCCACCTTAGCCTTTTACATCCCAGCTCTTTTCTTCATCCTGACGCACCGGTTTGCCCAGAATGTGCCCCTGCATTTCCATGTTCTCATGGCCAACATGTACCTCCTGGTGCCCCCCATGCTAAACCCCCTTATCTATGGTTTGAAGACCAAACAGATCAGAAACAGGCTGCTCTGGCTCTTTCCTCATAAAGGACCTAAAGTTTTCTCCTGGTAGTCTGGCTCTAAAACCAACCTCCATGCAGAGCTGTCTTGGGACATGGTGCTGAGCCCTCTTTCCTGAATCGCCTACTGGACAGTTAGATAGACATTAAATCCTTCCCTGACCCTACTGTGCTGTGTCAGCCTGACAAACTGGGGAATCAGTCTGTGTGCAACTCGTTAACTCATAGGTTGCCACATTTCTAATTGCTGGTCACTGGATTCCAAAGCCCCACCCCTTGTTCTACCTCTTCTGTCAAGCCTCACCCCTTCCTCTGCTTCTTCATCCTAAGGCCCCACCCCTGTTGATGAATCCTCTCCAGCCCTCCATTCCCTCCCAGTGAGAGAGGGATACCCCAAGTTGCTGGGACGGAGGGCTCAGCTGTTCCACAGTCCTGCTTGCACCCCAGGGATCCCATCCCAGGAGTTCTGTCCTTGGGCTAGTCCCAGAAAACACAGGGACATTCAAAATAACCCCTGTATGGGCAGGTTGTTCAAAGCCAAGTGGACTGGCTGGTGATGCTTGGAGGAAACAGCCAAGTTCACATACGTCCACCTCTCACTTTTAAAGTACTCTTTCCTCCTTTCTTTGTACAGGGAGCAGGCTCCCTGTGGCAAAACAGATTTTGATCTGCTCTTCCCATTCTCAAGTGGCTCTAGTGTTCAAACTGCTTGCCCTGCTCGAACCCAGGCAAGGTGCCTTGCTTAGGTGGCTAGCAGCTGTTGCACCGTGAGGGGGCGAGAACAGGGTGTGATGCTGTATGATTGAATATGACCATTTTTATCATGGTTGCTACCACGGTTATATAATGGCAACAGAGGCTGTACTAAGTACGTCCTGTCAGGTGTCAATGGGGAAGCTCTGATTTGCTCAGTATGATTCTCCAATGTATCTGCATGTATCATCCTTGTGTCCGATGTTATTCATATTGGCAATGTCCTGGAATGGGCTTTGTTTGGGACAGTAATATTCCAAACACAGGGCAGAGAATATAAAAGGACCTCTGAGACATCTCTGTATTGTCTTCATTTCTCTGCACTGGATTTCTGACAAGGAAGCTCTGAACAAGGACTAATAACCCCCAAACTGCTTTGGTTATTTCTAGAGAGACTTTTGCAAGCTAGCAGTTTATTCCATCACTGCTATGATGCTGATCTCTGAACCATGAAAAACCACTGGGATGTATCTAATCTATTAACCATTTATAACTCTTCTTGTTTCCTTTTATTATCAAACCTTTAGTTTTCAATTGCTACTGGGATGGCAGAATTGGTCTTATTGGGTAAGATCTCAGTGATAGATTGACCTGCATAAGTGGCTGGTCTCTTTGGATGAGAAGGACCCGCTATGTGGTGAAATTGGTTTTCACTGACTGCTCCTCATGGAGTCCAGTGTACAGGTGATAAGGCAAGGGCTGGGATGTGTCTAGTTAACCAGTGCGGTGAGACAGAAGTTTATGACTGTTACTGTCTTGGTTTAATGTAATCATAGAATAACCACCAGCCTCTTTCTCAGCAGTTTGTCCTAAGTTTGGCATCCTCAGCCATGTCCCACTGAAGCACGGTCACACATGGACAGACTTTACTGTTGATGGGTTCTACACACAGTATTGCTCACTACTCCCAGGAGGTATCCCCCTTTTACAGATGGGGAAACTGGGGCAGCAGGAAGGAAAATGTTTGGAGCCAGGAGACGAGCCCAGAGTCCCCAGCTGCCAATCCCTTGTTTAGCGTCTCAGACCTGGCTCGTGTGGTCCATGCTGCAGCACAGATTCATGGTGCTGTCTCTCCACTGGGTTCTCTAGTGCGGGGACGTCCCCTGATTTCAGTGGGGCTGCTCCCACTGACACCAGCTGAGGATTTGGCCCAAGACTACCAAAAAAGCCCTACTCAGGGCTGCAGAGTCACACACTCCCCTGATGTGGCTCCTTTCAGCCTTTTGTTGGCCTGAGTGCTCTGTCGTTCCAGATAAGGTGCCGTGTAAATTGCCAGCTAATGCTAGCTGTGTGATTTATCTCCCTCCGTGTGAGCTCCCGCAGCCACCCGGGCCTCTGCCCAGCATCCCGCCTTCCCAGCTAATGCAGGGGCTGATCCCTCCACCTCTCTCAGCTGTTGTCCTCCTAGCTTCAAAGCTGATCCCTTCCCCGCCCCCAAGGCCTGGCTCAGGGCAAAGGGCTCCCAGCCCATCCCTATTGCTGGGACCCTGCCAGCAACAGGCCCCCCGCCAGAAGGAACAAATAATAGAATCATAGAATCTCAGGGTTGGAAGGGACCTCAGGAGGTCATCTCGTCCAACCCCCTGCTCCAAGCAGGAACAATCACCAACTAAATCATCCCAGCCAGGGCTTTATCAAGCCAGGCCTTAAAAATCTCTCAGGATGGAGATTCCACCACCTCTCTAGGGAACCCAGTCCAGTGCTTCACCCCCCTCCTAGTGAAATAGTGTTTCCTAATATCCAACTTAGACCTCCCCCACTTCAACTTGAGACTATCGCTGAAAGCTGAGGAAATGAGCCACACGATGGTCTCTGCCCTCAGGACATTGCAGCTAAGCTTTCAGGCCCACACGCTGAACGATGCACAATCTCGGTTGCCTGCCTCTCAGCCCTGCTCCAAACCCACAGCTGATTTTATATGGTTTCTTGGCTTCCCTCTATTCTCCGGACCGGCCTGCCTGCTGCATCCTCCCTGAAGGGTCCTTGCCAGGCTGCAGCAGGTCCCACCCTAGCTCCAGGGCAGAGGGAGCCCAGGCTGGGGAGGAGGAAGGTGGAGATGATCCAGCAAGTGGATGGGGTTGGAGAGGAGGGGAGCGAGTAACAGGGGTGGGGTTTTGGGGGAAGATGTTGAGAATGGAATGGGGCCTTGGGGAAAAGGTGGGACAGGGAAAGGGCCTTGTGGAAAGAGGTGAGGCAGGGGACAGGGCCTTGGAGAATAGGCAGGTCTGGGTGTGGGGCCTCAGAGATCCAGTTAAAAGCAATTAGAAAGGTGGCAATCCTATGGGAGAATGAGTTGTACACAAAAAGATTACTCAGTTTGTCATGCTGACACAGCACGGTAAGGCCAGGAAAGGATTTAATGTCACTTTGACTGTCCAGTCAGTGATTCAGAGAAGGGGGCCCAGCACCATGCCACCAGCCAGCTCTTCACAGAACTCAGTCTGAGAGCCAGAGCACCAAAAGAAAACGTTAGGCCCCTTTATGAGTAAAGAGCTGGAGCAGCCTGTCCCGGATCTGTTTCGTCCTCACCCCGTAGATGATGGGGTTTAACACGGGGGGCAGCAAGAGGTACATATTGCCAATGAGAACGTGGAAATGCAGGGGCACATTTTGGGCAAATCTGTGCATGAGGGACATGAAGAGACCTGGGATGTAAAAGGCTAAAATGACAAAAACGTGGGAGCCACAGGTCCCCAAAGTCTTGAGCCGGGTGTCTTTTGTGGGGAGGCTGAAGATGGCCCTGAGGATCTGGGTATAGGACACAGCAATAAAAATCCCATCCAGACCCATCACGCAGACTCGCACAAAGAGGCCGTAGTAACTACTAACACGGGTGTCGGCGCAGGCCAGGCTCACCACGGCTATGTGGGCGCAGTAGGGCTGGGGGATGACGTTGGTTTTGCAATAAGGCCACTGCCTCGCTAGGATGGGAAAGGGCAGTACAACTATGCCGCAGCGCAGCACCACGGCCAGGCCGATCTTGGCCACCAGGGGGTTTGTCAGGATGGTGGAATGTCGCAGGGGATGGCAGATGGCCACGTAGCGATCCAGAGCCATGGCTACGAGGATCCCAGACTGCATCATAGAGAAGACGAGAACGAAGTACATCTGGGTGAGGCAGGCACTGAAATCAATCTCCCTGGAATTGAACCAGAAGATGTTCAGCATTTTGGGCACGGTGGACATATACAGGACCAGGTCGGTGACAGCCAGCATGCAAAGGAAATAGTACATGGGCTCATGGAGGCTCGGTTCAGTCTTCACAATAAAGAGGATGGAAATGTTCCCCAAGATGGCTGGGATGTACATGGTGCAGAAGGGGATGGAGATCCAGACATGGGCTGCCTCCAGGCCAGGAATGCCCAGCAGGATGAAGGTGGAGGGGTTGCTGAAGTGGGTTGTGTTGGAATCTAACATGGAGTAGGGGAGAAGGTGTCCAACTCTGAGGCAGAACGGTGTCTCTTGCTTTTAGCATATGTTCCCCTGAGTTCCTGTATGCGCCCACGGTCTAGGGTGATGGTCTCAGTACAAATACCTGGATGGAGAGACAATGTGAATATTAGACACTACATGCACTACTGGGGGCTGTTCTCATGGGGGAAGCAGATTATTCCCTCTTCACACACTGAAAATGACATTGTCATTATTCAGAAAAATGAATTATGAAGAATTGACCCTACTAATGCCAATTCCATATTTTATGGTGCTACCACATCATGGTGTGGGAAACCTTCGTAGGCACCAGAAGAAAACACAAGTGTGGATACTAATTATCCATCATTGTTCCTTTGGCTTTTTCTACACTACCATGTTTTTTCGCAAATAAGCAGCTTTTGTCAAAGAAACAGTGGGGGTGTACACAATTTCAGTGATGGAACTCCTCAGCCCTGGTCTACACTAGGAGTTGAGGTCGAATTTAGCAGCATTAAATAGATTTAACCCTGCACCCGTCCACACGATGAAGCCTTTTTTTTCGAATTAAAGGGCTCTTAAAATCAATTTCCTTACTCCATGCCCAACGAGGGGATTAGCGCTGAAATCGGCATTGCCAGGTGGAATTTGGACACAATTAGATCGTATTGGCCTCTGGGAGCTATCTCAGAGTGCTCTATTGTGACCGGTCTGGACAGCACTCTCAACTCAGATGTACTGGCCAGGTAGACAGGAAAAGGACCGCAAACTTTTGAATTTCCATTGACTGTTTGCATGGTCATCTGCAGCTTGCCACGATGGCCAGAGCTCATCAGCAGAGGTGATCATAAAATCATAGAATATTAGGGTTGGAAGGGATCTTAGGAGG